GTCTCCAACTTCTAATTCTCCTGCCTCAACCTCCCAGTTTTCTGGGATTACAGGCAAGGACTGCTGCACTCAGCAAAAAGTGGTTTTGTTTTCTGGTGCTGGGGATAGAACCCAGAGCCTCAGGAATGCTGGGCAGGTACTCTTCCACTGAGCTACATCTCTAGGCCCCCAGGCAAAACAACATTTTTAAAGATGCATTCCTACATAAAAAGGAACATTAAAATAATAACCTGAGCCAGCTACTGTGGCACACACTCACAATCCCAGACACCAAGGAGGCTTAGGTGGGCGGGGGGCACAAGTTCAGCTCTCAAAGATAATAGGGCTGGGAATGTGGCTTGGTGGTAAAGCACCCCTGGGTGCAATTCCCCAGTACCCCCCAAAATAAATAAAACAATAAACACCCACAGATTATACCATGCACAGAATTAAAGAACTGAGAGAAGTGGATGAGTGATTTCCAGGCTCGGTGGCCACTGGCCAAGCAGATGCCCCCAGGTTTCACCTTCTCTTCACCCTCCCATCCAACCAGGCACCATGCCTGGCTGTCCCCTTAAAAATTCCTCTGCCTGGCGGCCACACCTCTGCTCTCATCCTGCTGCCACTTCTTTGTTCAGGCCTCCGCATCCCTGGGCCATAGGGTAAGGGTCTCCTAGTGGGTCTCTCACCTCTCCCCTGGAAATTACCACCTTTCTACAGTAGGTGGCTTCATCAATTCACAGCCCTGACATGTCCTTTCCTGGATCCCTGCTGCCAGTTAGGAATTCTGGGCACAGCCTGCAGGACTGCCACGTGGCCCCAGCCTTCCACACCAGCCTCCTGCTGCCCTTGCCCCACCCTCCCCACAGCCATCCAGACCTGCAGTTAGTCTTGAGCTCACTCTGATACACTTTTGTGTCTCTACCAGGTCCTCCTGGTTTGCAGCACAGCAGCTCTTACAAAACCTCCCTGACCCTCTGCCCTCTGGAGCCCCCACGCACCAGGCTCTGACTGCACTGCCCTGTGCAAACTTCACACAGCGTCGTCCTCCAGAACAGGCCGGGACAGCACTTATGGGTCACTGACTGTTGGCAAAGGGGCCATGACCATTCAATGGGGAAAAATGTGTTTAATAAATGGTGTTGGAACAACAGGGTTCAAACCCACAGGCAAATGAAGCTGGAGCCCCACCTCACACTATATGTACAACTTAACTCAAAGTGCACTAATGACCTAAAGGTAAGAGGTAGGAAAGAGATCAGTGGTGGCTTGGGCCTGGGCGCCACTTGGGCAGCTGGGGGCAAGGGCTAAAAAGTTGTCTTCTTGGAGTGATGAAAATGTTCTAATTAGATTACAATGGTGAGTGCACAGGTTTGTGAAAATACTACAAACCAGTCAATTGTGAGCTTCAAATGGATGAACTGTATGGTATGTGAGTTGTAGTTCAATATGGCTGATACAACAACAACAAATGGTTATACACAAGAAGATACGAAGAGGGAAAAAAACAGATTTTGATGCCATGCATTTTGGGTGAAAAAAACCCTATGTTCCTTCCTCAATTTGTGTGTCTCCCTCCACCATCATATAAAAGAGTGTAATAAGAGAATTTACTCCATGTAGAGATTGGGAATACAGGGAAAATGCATGAACACATGAAGATAGTCGCTGGCACAGTTTAGGGCTCATGAAAGAAGACAGCTATTTAAAAAGGGGCCTTGAAATAGAAGGAGAAGGAGGAAGGAAAAAGTTGTGGGGGGATAGGAGGAGATCATCACAAGGACAAAAGAAGCATATTAAGGCCAGAAATTCTGCCAAAGATCCCAGGTCACATTTTTTTTTAAAGATTCTTTTAATATTTATTTTTTAGTTGTAGTTGGAAACAATACCTTTATTTATTTATCTTTATGTGGTGCTGAGGATTGAACTCAGGGCCTCATACACGCTAGGTGAGCGCTCTACAGCTTAGCCACAAGCCCAGCCCCCCTGGTCACATTTTTTTAAGGAACTCTGCAGGCTTTAGGTTTCAGAATTAGAAAAGCAGGACTGTGGACTCAACAACAAAATAGGGTGGAGAAGGCAGATGGCAGCCACGCAGTGGCCCTGGAGGCAACCTTATGAGGCAGAGCAGCAGGGTGCCTTCCTGGAGCCCAGGAAACCCACCAGGGCCCAGGTAAAGGAAAGGCGACACCGTGTGCTGACATAGGAGTCATCTCTGTACTGAGCCTCTCTGCACCAAGGCCACCTCTCAGCCAGACTTAAACTCCACCTGGAGACAACCATGCCCTTCAGAGCTTCACGGGAGCTTCTCAGCCTCCTACCTGGTGGGCATCACCATGTGACCCAGGGGGTCCTGCCTGCCCACCAGGAAAGCTATGCTTGCCAGTTCCCTCCCCATCACTGAGCAAGCACCAGCCATTAGGTAAACTGTGAAGCTCATGTTCATTTTACAGCCAAGTGCCCCAATTCCCAGAGAGGCAAGGAACACTGGCAGGGTTACCCAGCAGCCACTGGCTGGATGGGAGAGCCTCCCCCCCCCCCCCCCCCCGGACTCCTGAAGGTCCCTGAGATAATATCTTAGACTAGTTTTGATTTGCACTTCTCTGATTGATAGAGACGATGAGCATTTTTTCATAGGTTCGTTGATTGATTGTATATCCTCTCCTGAGAAGTGTCTGTTCAGGCCCTTGGCCCATTTGTTGATTGAGTTATTTGTTTTTTTGGTGTTTAGCGTTTTGAGTTCTTTATATACCCTAGAGATTATTGCTCTATCTGATGTGTGAGGGGTAAAGATTTTCTCCCAGGATGTAGGCTCTCTGTTCACCTCAAAGATTGTTTCTTTTGTTGAGAAAAAACTTTTTAGTTTGATTCCATCCCATTTAATGATTATTGGTTTTAATTCTTGCACTTAGGAGTCTTATTAAGGAAGTTGAAGCCTAATCCCACATTAGGAACATTAGGGCCTTTTTTTTCTATTAAATGCAGAGTCTCTGGTTTCATTCCTATGTCCACTTTGAGTTGTGTGCATGTGAGAGATAGGGGTTTAATTTCATTTTGCTGCCTATGGATTTCCAGTTTCCCCAGCACCATTTGTTGAAAATGCTATATTTTCTCTAGTGCATGTTTTTGGCACATTTGTCTAATATAAGACAATTACAATTGTAATTTTTGGGGTTACTTTCTGTGTCCTCTATTCTGTACCATTGGCCTACCAGTCTGTGTTGGTGCCAATACCATGCTGTTTTTGTTACTATTGCTCTGCAGTATAGTTTAAGGTCTGGTATAGTGATGCCATCTGCTTCACTCTTCCTGCTAAGGATTGCTTTAGCTATTCTGGGTCTCTTATTTTTACAGATGAATTTCATGATTACTTTCTCTATTTCTATGAGGATTGCCATTGGGATTTTGATTAGACTTGCATTAAATCTGTATAGTACTCTTGGTAGTAGTCATTTTGATAATATTAAGTCTGCCTATCCAAGAGCAAGGTAGATCTTTGCATCTTCTAAGGTCTTCTTTGATTTCTCTCTTTAGGGTTGTGTAGTTTTTATTGTGTAGATATTTCACCACTTTTCTTAAGTTGATTCCCAGGTATCTTATTTTTTTGAGGTTATTTCCTTCTCAGAGGCTTTGTCACTGATATACACAAATGCCTTTGATTTATGGGTGTTGATTTTATATCCTGCTACTTTGTTGAATTCATTTACTATTCCTAGAAGTTTACTGGTGGAGTTCTTTGGGTCTTCTGGGTATAGAATCATATCTTCAGCAAATAGTGCTAATTTAAGTTCTTCTTTTCCTATATATATATATATCCCTTTGATTTCTTTCGTCTAATTGCTCTGGCCAGTGTTTCAAGAATTATGTTGAATAGATGTGGTAAAAGAGGGCATTACTGTCTTTTTCCAGTTTTTAGAGGGAATGCTTTCAATTTTTCTTCATTTAGCATGATGTTGACCTGAGGCTTAGCATAGATAGCCTTTACGATGTTTAGATATGTTCCTGTTATTCCTAGTTTTTCTAGTATTTTGAACATAAAGGGTGCTGTATTTTGCCAAATGCTTTTTCTGCATCTATTGAGATGATCATATGATTCTTATAAGTCTATTGATGTGATGAGTTACATTTATTGATTTCCGTATGTTGAAACAAACTTGCATCCCTGGAATGAATCCCATTTGATCATGGTGCACAATCTTTTTGATATGTTTTTGTATTCCATTTGCCAGAATTTTATTGACAACTTTTGCATCTATGTTCATTAGAGATATCAGCCTGAAGTTTTCTTTCTTGGATGTGTCTTTGCCTGGTTTGGGGATCAGGGTGATATTGGCCTCATAGAATGAGTTTGGAATTACTGCCTCTGTTTCTATTTCCTGAAATAAATCAAAGAGTATTGGTATTAATTCTTCTTTAAAGATCTTGTAGGACTTGGCTGTGTATTCATCCGGTCCTAGGCTTTTCTTGGTTGGTAAGCTTTTGATGGCTTCTTCTATTTCCTCACTTGATATTGGTCTGTTTAAATTGTGTATATCTTCTTGACTCAATCTGGGCAAATTGTATGACTTAAGAAATTTATTGATGCCTTCAATATCTTCTATTTTTTTGGAGTATAAGATTTCAAAATAATTTCTAATTATCCTCTGGATTTCTGTAGTGTCTGTTGTGATATTACCTTTTTCATCACATATGCTGGTAATTTGAGTTCTCTCTCTCCTTCTCTTTGTTAGCATGGGTAAGGGTCTATCAAATTTATTTATTTTTTTTCAAAGAACAAACTTTTGTTTTGTCAGTTTTTTTCAATTATTTATTTTGTTTCAATTTTATTTTATTTCATCTCTAATTTTAATTGTTTCTTGCCTTCTACTGCTTTTGCTGCTGGCTTGTTTTTCTTTTTTAGGGCTTTGAGATGTAGTGTGAGGTCATTTATTTGTTGACCTTTTCTTCTTTTAAGGAATGAACTCTATGAAATGGATTTTCCTCTTAGTACTGCTTTCATAGTGTCCCAGAGATTTTGATATAAAAATATGGAAAGCTTCACGAATTTGTGTGTCATCCTTGCACAAGGGCCATGCTAACTTTCTCTGTTTCATTCCAATTTTAGTATTTGTGCTGCCAAAGCAAGCACCAAAGCTGTTCTAATAGGTATATAGTGACATCTCATCATGATTTTAATTTGTATAGTTAATGACACTGACCTCCTTTTCATGTGTGTGTGTGTGTGTTTTTCTTAACCATCTACATATCCTTTTTGGCTGAAATGTATGTTCATGTATTTTGCTCATTTTCTAGTTGGATTTTTTGGTTTTTCTTTTCTTTTCTTTTTCTCTCAGAACTGAGGATTGAATTTAGGACCACAAAGATGCTAGGCAAGAGTGTAATCACTAAACTACATTCCCAGCCTGGTTTGGTTTCTTCTACTGTTCATTTAGAAGAATTTTTTATGTATTCTATATGTGAGTCCATTTTTAGGTCACCCCTTGCAAATTGATCTCAGGATGCATATTCAGAAAACATTTCCTTCTCAAAGTACAAACTGTCCTTGCAAGAGAGCAATCTTATCTAGGATCATCAACATTGATGAGGAATGTGGGTATACTGAGAAGATGAATGGCACAAACTTTCACTAAAATCCATTTGCCAAACTTCTTCAGAAGATACATTTGAAGTGCCAGGGCCTGCATGAACCAACTGCTGTTTACTAATGACACAGAAACTCCAATGTGAAAGTTTCTCTATCACCTCTCAGAAGCAGTTTCACTTAATTCTAGTTCAATCAGAAAAACAAAACAAAACAAAACAATGTGCTCACATACAATTAGTTCCTGCAAGTTGAAGGTGCTTGCAAAATATGCTTCATTCCTGCATTACCAAAATGTTCTCAGAAAGCACATTCAGAGTTCAATTACTTCCCAATATAAAAAGTGTGGTAGCAAGGGAGTTGTTGTCCCTTAGCTCATAAAATTTGAGGAAGTCAGTGGAATGCTAAGAAAATAAACTCTCAAAAGTTTCTTTGAAATTCATAACTCATACATTTTCAGAATGAAATGAAATGCAGGGCCATGCATGCAACAAACAGTGGTTTACAGATGGCACAGATGCTTCAATGTGAATGCCAATCATTACAAGTGGTTCTGCCCCAAAGTGCCCACTGAGAACACACTTACTTTGTTCCTGCAAGTTGAAGCTCCTTGAATGAACTGCTTCAGTTCTGAAATTCCAAGCTCTTCTCAGCGATCACATTCAGAGCACACTTCTGGCCCGATAGAAACAGTGTCCTGGCAAGGGGTCCTGTGCCTATGATCACCTTCATAAGGTAGCTTACCATCTCCAGTGTGGGGGTGTATTTCTCATTGGCCCTTATGCTGTGGTGGAGACTTCTAGGAGCTCAGTTTGATGCAGGACCATCTGACCTGGACTTTTTGCAAGCCCTGTGCAGCCCTCACACATGCTCAGATGCTACAGGACTCTTCAGACCAGTCCAGGCAACAGTAGGCATTCATTCATTGTCTATGATCTACAGATTCCTAGATGCATGGCATTCATTATCATTCAATGCAGAATTTTTAGAGACCATATATATGGTATAAAAAATCAGAAATATTCCAAAATCAAAACAGTGGATCCCCATTTTGATGCTACAAGTAGAAAATACCATATCTGAACTCAGGGGATGGTTTACTGTCAAAACTAGGGGCTCTAAATATATCAGATAAAATTGCCTTCACTTTATGTATAGAGTTGCATGTGAAGCACACATGTATGACTTCTTTAGACTTGGGTTTCATCCACAAGACATCTTATGTAATTGAAAATATTCCAAAATTGGAGAAGTGCTTTAGCATAGGCCAACTCACAGTGTCTATCTATCTCTCAGTGAGCATGTGCTCTTGTGTGTGTGTCTTTGTGTGTGTGTGTGTGTGTGTATCACAATATCCAATATTTCATTGCTCCCATTGCAAATCTGACTCAGAAAATGCCATCTGCCATATTCCTATAAACAAAATTTCTTTCTGATCAAATGAAACATTTCTTTCTTTTGGTTTTTATGTTTCCTCTAGGAATTGCTGCTACAATCAATATACTCAAATCACTGAAGTAGATTTTTGGAGACTCTTTCCCACAGGACAAAATTGTATTTCACTCTGCCATTCATGGCATAATACACATTTCCATCATCAGGGAATCCTCAGATCTACCAAAGTAGGTCAGAAAACAAAAGATCATATTTTAAACAGTACTTGCTTTAAATGACAAATATATGACATAGTGATGAATGTGTTACTAAAGGGGATAAATAACAAAGAACTAATGTCAAATTATAGATTAGCAGCTTGAAAATTTTGAAGAATATAGGTAAAGAAATTGATGTCAGTGATCATGTGATGCTTCAGCACTGCCCATCTAGACAGCAGCAAGTTGTTCTTCGAAGGATCCTGTGGAGAGCTCAAGCCTCCGTTGCATCATCAGGAGGAGGTTTGGCCTGGATCCACTCATCCTTGTTTTTTGGGATGGTCCTCTTCCTCAGCACAAAGTTGTATTCAATGTGAGGGTTCACGACATAGAAAACATTTGTGTCATGAGGAATCTTCAGCTCTGGAGAGAGGGGTATAATGATGGAAGGTGGCACTCAAGAGGTGCACCACAAGAACGCCCAATATCGGAGGACCTATGCCAGGAAAGACCTGAACCACAGACCCGAAAGCTCTCCAGTTCAGCTCCAATACCAACAAAGACATCCACAGTAGACTTCCCTGAGGAAAACCTATGCAGAGAACTGTAACTGAACTGATGTCTGTTGCTTCCAAAGGCTTTAGACTGCAGTACATTTCAGTTCATCTTGGATCTGCCAAAGCACATCGCTAGGGTTGGCATCTGAAATCTCCCACAAAAGGCTCATGTGCTGAAGATTCTGTCCAACTTCAACAATGTTCACAGGTGGTTTGGGGGGAAGCATTTGATGTTGAGTGCTCTGAGGTTCTCATAAAATTCTCATTCAAGATGGATACACTTCTAGGAGGTGGTAGGAACTGGAAGAAGGTTGGGCATGGTTGGAGGAAGACCTAACTAGGTTTTGCCTTTAGCAACTATATGTTGGCCTTGTCGGCTCCTCTCAGTACTCATTCTTCTGGTAGTATTCATCCTCTAACACCTACTGATCTTTCTCCATCCTCTTCTCTCTCTCCCATTCTATCCCCCATTTGGAAACAGCTGAGGAGAGCTCCACTTCCACACACTATGGCTTTATTGACAGACTCAGTGCACAACCAAATGGAAAGCTATGAAACCTGAAACAAACAAACAAACATAGAACTATACTTCTATGTTATTTTCCTCAAGTATGGCCACAGTGAGGACAGGCTGACCAGCACAGATACCACATTGGAGCCATGCTTCTTCCATTGTTGGTGCCTGCCTCCTTGTGGACCAGGCTTCCTAGAATGGAGGCCACATCCCAAATGCTGCCCTACTGAGAACAATGGTTTCAAAGACCAGCAAAGGGACTGATCCCCTTCAACATAGTGTTATGGTCTAAGGATTCCATATCCCCCAGTGGGATTCAAACATTCAGCTTCTCCTTCCTCTGACACTTGTTTCCTGCAGCCCTCCTCTAACCTACAGCCTCTTCTCCATCCCTTCTGGGTTGGATGTGTGGATCTCTGCTATAAAGTTCTTAGCCTACCAAGGCCCAGACTTCCTGTTCCATAAGACTCTACTAACCTAACCATAGGTTAAGATAGGAGAAAATTTATCCTAGAACTCATAGGGTTCATGGTTTTCAGTGTAGATAGGCTGGGATCATGGCTGCTGTGGGTGATTGGCTCACAAAACAAAAACAAAACAAAACAAAACAAAAAGAGCGCTAGAATTATTGACAGAACAGCTTTGTGGTAGATGTGCTCAGGAAGCCCTCATCTTCCTTTAGTTAGGGATCATAACTTGGCTATTGTGATCACTCCTTTGCAAGTGGACTCAAGTTCAGAAAATGGTGTATATGTCCAAACACAGATGATTCAGGCTGTCTCCCAGCCTGTATTTTCTTTCCAATTTTATCCTGTTATTGCTTTCTAGAATACTGGCAAGTCTCTGCACAGGCAGTGACTTTCTGGTCACACAGAAGGCTTTCAATAGCCCTGCTTCAGTCCACAAAACTCTCAGTTCCATCCTGAGCCCATGCATTCCCATGTTCCTCTGAAACCACTCCTATCAGAGACCATGAAACCATACTGCTCCTGGAAGGAGGCTTTCCTCCTCACTCCTCACTGATGTCAGCTCTGGATTCCTGTTCATGTCCAGGGGAGGACGCTTTGTAGGGAGTTGCATTAGCCAATGGGGCATAACATACAACTTCGAGACCTTGCCCCAGCATGAGTGAAGTTTTCTTTGTGCATGAGTGCAGCACACCCTGTTGGGGTGTTCTTGTGGGTCAGAGACGACTCTTTGTGGTTATAAGTTGACCTGAGTCCAAATCCTCATCCTTGGTCCCTGCCATCTGATTGTTCTACCTACTCTAGTGGTTGGTGATGATGTGGCCCTGCTCATAATCTTCTGGCTTTTCCTCATTTAGGAAGTGTAGCTCAAGGGCCTTGCTTGACTGCCGGAGCCCTATCCTGGCAGGCTCCCTGGAGAATCATGGAGACAGGGCTTCTGGAAAGGGGCCTTTCAGTGACTCCTCAAGAACAGTGGAGAGAGACACTCAGGAGGCACCTCAGCTCTACATATAAGGGTACCATCCATGACCTACGACCTGAGGTTGGCCTACAGGTAATCGTGTGAACTCTTCCAATGGGCTAATAGCCCAATCCTTGGACAAAGGACTGCCTGGACCTTCCATTGCTCTTTGTGGGGCCACATTCCACTCAAGGTGAAAAAACCACACAACTTGTATATAGAAAGAATTTTGTCCCACCAAGATAAGGTGAATGGGACAGTGGCCTCCAAGATCCCAGGTCTGCTCAAGGATGCAGGCTGCATTTGGGGTGGCCCAGTCACAAAACCTAGAGGCTTCAGTCTTGATTGCCAGGGCCCAAAACAGACTCAGGAACATGACCACACACAGGAGTGCTGAAAGACAGCCACGAGAGCTCCTGGCCTCCAGAGGCTCAGTGATGACTGTGGTACAGGAGG